AATCGTGAGCCAATGACGGAAAACTTCAATCCCGAGTACAAGCGGCTGAAACTCGCTTTTCGAGACGAATCGCTGGCATCACGAGTCTCGGCATGGTCCAGAGTTCAGATATTCGGGAGTACCTTGGTGCGCAGCCGATGTTTCTGCAGATGGAGAAGTCTCAGCTACAATGGCTTGGACGTGTCCTTCGAATAATTCCAGAAAGGAAAGCAAAACTGCGACTACTTGCCAAACCGGCCAGCAGACAAGAACGGGGACGATCAAGAATAACCTCCGACAAATGTACTGAGCACTCTGCTCCATAATCTGGTTATCTTCTGTTGAAGCTCAAATCTTGGCAAGGATCGAGAATGTTTGAGACACTCTCTGATGCGCCGCCTCCGCGACGCCAAAAAAGTAAGCGGCTATGGAAACTAACTGCCTAAAGTATCATATTCTGCTCATAAACAGCTTTCAAGCGATACTACCTTAAGAGAATAAATCAAATATTCTATGTAGATGACCACCTGCAATTATATAAACTCAGACTCCAGATTAAACGACTGCGAGCTGACTTAGCTACTACGCGGATTTACAGTTTAACAGCGGCTCCATTAAAAGGCAGTATGCAGTTAGAAGAGAAACAAATGAGATCGATAACCATTTGCTATCTTCATCTTCCATGGCCGCTTCTCCTTTCGCGTCACGGAGGCAGACGCGTCACACACAGCTTCCAACATTCCCGCACGGGTGCCAGAGTCCGCGATTAGGCAAAAGACAACTGGAGTCTCGAACAGACTCCTGCGATATATTTGCACCAGGTTAAGCTAGGCCGTCATCTGGCCTTCTGCCCGTCGGATAGCAAGAAACAGCTGCATAGTCTTCCTTTCTGGAGGCACTCGCAATACATGGCCAAACCATCGCAGCTGCGACTTATCAATCTTGAGAATCAACGGCTATACACCAAGGCTCTTCCGGATGTCAGTATTCCAGACAGTGTCGAGACGCGTAAGGCCAGCGACTCGTCTAAGAAAGCCCGTTTCACCAGCTTGTACCCGGGTTCGAAGTTTATCAGTGGTGGTCCAGTCCACGACTCACGACCGTAGGTAAGCACGGGGATAAAGATCATCATCAACACCGAGACCTCAATATCCAGACTGAGCTCGGCTTTAGACACAATGGATCGCGCTAGTTCACGCAGAACGCTACTGGCTACTCCAATTCACCGGTCAATCTCTTCCTCAAATTTTTCATCACTGGTAAATACGACTTCGAGGTATTTGAACTTCTCCACCTGCTCCACTGCCTCTCCGTTAATCTGAAGAGAGCAACGGGCAGGAGAACGAGAAAGCACTAGGCGTTTCGTTTTAGATGCGTTCACACGCATGCCGGCAACGTCGCACTCGGGTGCGAACCTTTCTAAGGAGCACTGAAGATCAGTTTCAGAAGATGCTAATAAAACAAGGTCGTCTAGAAACAGCAATCTTCTCGTCTTCAATCTAGTACACTGATACACTCGTCGCTTTGGATGCTCCTGACTATTCTGTTCATGTACAACCCAAACTCGAGAGGGGACAAGACGCATCCTTGACGGAGATCAGTGCCAAGGTTGAAAGATTTCGACTTAACGTCATTAACTCTGACGCAGCACCTGCTATCAGAACACGGTGATTGGATACCCCTTAGCAGCTGGCCAACTATGCTCGCAGGCACGACCACAGACCGTTTCGTGGGATCCTGTCATCTGCAAAGCATTGCAGCTTTATTTTCATAATTTACCCTTACAACGACGCCGCTGTGCGATGTCGGAACGCACTGGCAGATAAAAGATAGTTCTAGTAGCGTGTCTTAAAGGACCGTTTCAGTAACTTGTGAATTTTACATCGTTCTGATCACCTGTATCCTTGAATAACGAATCAAGAAAAGAACAGACATCATAGTAATCAAATCATTACAGATGGTTTTTTTTAAAACTCTTTATATTTCTGTGTCTTCCTTACCAATAAACTGACACTTCAATTGTTCTAGACACAACAAAACAGACGCATAGTAATATTTACCAGAACTGTCGACGTTTCAGCCAAACTACGTTCGCCATCATCCGGGCAAACAACAATAACCGTGTCTGTACTGATAATGGTTAATTCTAGTAAAGACTACTGACCATCTGTTTCGTTGTGTTTAGAAAGGCTGAAGCGCCAGTTTATTTACCAACTGTTGCGGCACCTTATAGAGAGTTGAAGGCTTTAGCCAGATTTCTGAGAAGAATCGTTTGCGAAGAAATATTATATTCGCTTCAGTTCATGCAAATGTTAAAAGACTTAGTTTCAGCGATGCATGTGCTTTGGCAACTGACAGAGACCTCACGAAGCGGAGCAAATAG